TGAAGTTTCCATCATTTGAGGCAGGAATGTCACAAGTATTTAACCAGAAACATAGAATGTTATCCTTTAGATTTGGGAAGGCGTCCTTGATTCAAAAAGCTTTTTCAAGTGTCTGAATAGCCCAAATTTAAGGATGCTCAGTTCTGAGGTTCCCACTGTGTAGTTCCTATCTGAAATATACTGAAATCTGTTTATAATAAATACAGGTGTAATGAAAATCATCTTTATAATAAAGTAAAATTAAAGCCTCTGACTGTTCAGTGCTATGCAGTGAGTTTAATGGTGTTACTTTGCAGAGGGCTTTCTCTCTGGAATGTAATAAAGGGCCAGGAAGTTCCCCTAAACTGAAGAGCTGATAAACACCCCATCCACTCCTACAGTCATGAGATGAAAGTGAAACCACTGGCAAAGTTCCCAGCAGCTCTGTGATAAAGTAAATAAGCCTTTACTGCTACTCTTTTTTTATTTCAAAAGTGAAAAGGCAAGCTTGCTGGTGTTTCTGTGACGAGTAGAATGAAAAGGAGCCATTGCACGTCTTTCTGAATTGAGAAAGTCCTGCTGGTAGTAAAGCCATCTATGAAGGTAAAAACCTTGGGGGAGAAAGACCCTAACCTTTCTCCCCCCCTCCAAGAAAAACCTAACAGAGCTGAAGCTACAAGACCGTTTATTATTAATACATATGAGCTGTACTTACAAACTGTAATTGGATACAGGGAGTGGAGCCTTCTCTAATGCTTTTGATGGTAGATAACTGCCTGCATTAGAAATTCCAGATAAATGGCTTGGCTTGGAAGAAGAGATATTCAAAGAAAGCCCAGGAGTTGGGCCAAAATGTTTCTGGCCTGGGATTGGGAGTTCTTGCTGCAGGAAAACTTCGGGCCTGGTCTTGTGGTAGAGTTCCCTTAAATGTCTTTCTGGGGAAGAAGGTAATAATACCATGTTCCAGGGGAGCCCATTGCAGCACTGGATCAGTTGCATCAAGGGGGCTCCAGATGGTTCCTCAAGAAGGCTTTCCCAATGCAAGGGTAGAAGTGGGAGATAAGTAGGAGTGGGTGTTTGAAGCTTGTAGTTGCTATTGGCAGGACAAACATATGTCCTCTTCCACCCTTCTTCCCTTGACACGCAGTTGCAACAGCCTTGTTTCTGGGATATGTTGGGTTTGCTGCAAATGTATATAGGACTTTTGGTTTCTGATGTGCCAGTATACCAAGTCATTACAAGCATCTGAACCATGCTGGTTCTGGAACCTGGGAACAGATTGCCCAGAGATGTTGTGGATGCCCCATCCCTGGATGTCTTCAAGGCCAGGCTGGATGTGGCTTTGAGCAACCTGGTCTAGTGCAAGGTGTCCCTGCCCATGACAGGGGGGTTGGAACTAGATGATCCTTAAGGTCCCTTCCAACCCTAACCATTCGATGATTCTATGCTCCTGGACAAGACAAACTGAATACTGTCACATCGCTGTTGAAGTAACTACCCTGAGGAAAGTATGTGTAACATACACACATACTACTTATGGAAATACCAAATTGGCTGAAAATGTTATGTGAATACAGTGCTCTGCAGATGCTTTCTAGTATCTGTCCATACCATTAGGACATGGCTTGGATTCTGCCTAACTTTGCTGAGGTAGTAAAATAGTTTGTCTTTCAAAAAGAGAGGTGGGGAGGGGGAAAGACATTATAGGAATTACTAGTGCTTGAATTATGTGTTATCTTTGTTATAAGCTTTAAGAAGCTTATTAAGTGTAGCAGACAGTGATGTGGTAGATGATGTGGGATCAAATACACTCTAACTGGTTTGCAAGAAATAACCATGGTGTGATTATTTTTTTTATATAATCAGACAGCAACCATTTATTTTAAATGCTTAGCCCATATAATATATACAACATTATTATGTAGTTATATATGACACAAGTTGGGTTGTGGAGTTTTATGCCACTAGTGTTTAACGTCCTTTTTAATAAGTGAAGCTGATGTCCCAATGGAAGTTCAATTCCTTCCACTGTTTTTTAAATTGTTACTAATTATAAATACATATTTGAAACACAGCAAATCAAAGTTTAACTAGAGTAAAACCTGGACCATCCACATAAGGTATGTAAAAAGGGTGTACAGATAAGCAGATTTGCTAATGCCTCCAATATTAATGATATAGGTACACCCAGCCTCTCAATATTGGTTTAGGAATATGTTTTCAGTTGCAAAAGTAAGACCCTTCATCTTGTTAAAGAAATGGTGAGAGAATACTTAACCTAGTCTTGGTTAAGGAAAGTAGGAGGGCAGATCTCTCTTCCTACTCTAGAAGGTGTTGAGACATCTTGGTTCAGCAAAGGTGCAGCACAAGCTATTTGCACTGTAGGATATTGAATGAGAGAGAGAGAGAAAACAGATATTAATACTTCTTTGTACCTGGAAAATCATGGGAGAGAAAACGCTTTTGAGGCCCTCAGTTTTTTGGGATAGAAGAAAAGATGGTGCTGAACACAAAATGTCCTCTTTTCACAGCTCATGAATCCCTCTTGATTGCTGCAGATTATATGTATCTATGCTCACCAGGATTACAGTAACCAAATCTAAGTGTACTTGTGTGGGATAGTGCTGGTCCAGAAGTATTATGGGTGTTGTGCCTTCCTTAATTTTTGTTCTTTGCTGCTTTGTTTTTGTGGTATTAGACTCTTCTGAGGAAATTCTTCCCAGAGAGGGTGGTGAGGCACTGGAGCAGGTTGCCCAGAGAAGCTGTGGATGCCCCATCCCTGGAAATGTTCAAGGCCAGGCTGGATGAGGCTTTGAGCAACCTGGTCTAGTGGAAGGTGTCCCTGCCCATGGCAGGGGAGTTGGAAGTAGATGGTCTTTAAGGTCCCTTCCAACCCAAACCATTCTATGGTTTTACGAAGCTTGCTTTAGACACCTTTCTTTTCATCACCAATTTAATATAATAGTAATTAGTTTTCTTATTAGTGTATTTCTAGTTATAATATATATTATATAATTTCCAATTAGTGAATTCCATGTCCATAACACTGGGTTTTGGGTTTTATGCATTGTGGTTGAGTAAATATAACATGATCACTTTGCCATATGTAAGTCCCCTCCCTATTTAGTGAGGGTCTATTTTTTACTGTATTTCTTCCCTTGAACGTGTCTCCACTGATGGCTGCATCATGGCTTCTAAAAGCAGGGGCAAAAAAAACTTACAAATGGCAGTTGTTAGTTTGCAGGCTTACACCAGCTTCCTACTAAGGGGATGGCAGGGTCAAGGGCAGAGCGAACTCCTGTGCTGGAGTTGAGAAGCACAGCCAGAAAGCATCGGCAGAATCAAAAGTCTTCACACATACGCGTGGTGCTATCGCTGCCCAGCCTTTTCCTCTCCCTGTTCTGTCATTTTCTTTCTTTGGGATTTTACTTTGGCCTTTGCAGTCTAGCCTTCCTGTTCTATTTCATACTAAGGTGTTTGGTAAGAGAGGTGTAAACCTTGTTGTGAAACAAGCAAAGCAACCAAAACCATGGCAATGTGCACTGGAGCAGCTTCTTCTGTGTTCAGCAGCTCACTGAAAACATGTAACACTGTTTGTTGTTGGTCTGATTTTTATATCCATATAAAATGTTGGGGTTTATATCCATGCTCCTGCACAGGAGAGTAACCTCAGGCATCGGGAGGACAGTATTACTATGATGAATAACGAAAACCTCCTTTGTTTATAATTAGGCATTGATTCCTCCCTTATTCTTCTGCATGAATTGATATACCATACTGTCCTCTGTTTGCAAACTCGTATTGGGGATAGTATTTTCTTCTTACAGTTGCTCTTTGAAACTGTGCCCTCATTTCTGTCCTTCCTGAAGATACTTTGCAGCAGCAGAATGTATTTAAGTCCTGGCATTTCAGAATGAACAGCAGCGCTCAGAGCAGGGCTGTGTTGGTGCAGAGGGGCAGGAAAGGTGGAAGTAGCCTCTGTGCTATAAACTCCCGTGACTATGGGTGTGGGATGTGCAAAGACTGATCACTTGGAAAGGAGGTGAGAACTGTGGCTGTTCTCAGAAAAACAGAGCAGGCTTCCAGGCTGAACCACTGCAAATGATCCCTTTAACTCTTCATTTGGATCATGTATCTAACCCTGCTCACCTTTTTCCTTTAAGAAATATAAGTACACCCACCCCTATCCCCCATATGAGCCTATCTGCCGGACAAGGAATGTAGATAAATAATAGCAATTATCCACCTTGGTGCATTATTCTGACTTAGCCTGTGACTTTTCCTTGGATCAGATTGAGTTGGATGACTTGATGGCAGCAGACAACAAAAGAATAAACAGTTGCTTTGTGGAGTAAGTCATTTAGATGACTGACAGAATGTATGTATCATTGAGTTCATAGATTAAGAAAGGAAAAATCAGTGGTTTTGAGACACTATAAATGTATTTTTATAAACACAAAGTATATTTATATGAATTATGTACTGTTTCTGTATTTATTTGTTTTTCTTTGTAGCAGAACAAATGCATGGTTTTCCTGTAAATCTAAAAGTGGTATTTTTCTTCTTCACTATATAATACTTGATCTGAGTAGCAGGGGGTCTTATGAACCATTTTGAGTCAATGTTAATTTTATAAATTGCATTCCCTTTTCCACAATTCCCATGAAAAAGGTATTCAGCTAGATGAACACTCTTGGAAAAATTTAATAGGGCCCTTGAAATCTGTTTGAATTCAGCTTCTTTAAAAAAAAAATCTCTTTCTAATAGAAGCTGTGAAAGTATCAGATTCTTATGCCTTAGAGGCAGTTTTTCTTCCATACATAATGGTGAAACTCCACTGTTGCAATATATGGGTGTTTAAAATACTCTCTTTGTTAAATTGAAGCTCCTGTTTAGAAGTATGTGAGTTGGGCTCCTTTAGTTTGTTTTGTGTAACTTTTATTGTTATTATTGATCAGTATTTATATGATTTTCATAGCACTTTGTTGGTTTGTTTGTTGTTGTTTTTTTTTTCCCCCCAGTCTTTTCCTGGCCCAAGTCTTGAAAGTGAAGATTTTAACATACCTCCTATAACTCCTCCATCATTGCCTGACCACTCCCTGGTGCACTTGAATGAGATAGAGTCTGGGTACCACTCTCTCTGTCATCCCATGAACCACAATGGCCTCCTCCCATTCCACCCACAAAACATGGATCTACCTGAAATTACAGTTTCCAACATGCTTGGCCAAGATGGGACACTGCTTTCCAATTCCCTCTCTGTGGTAAGCCTTTTTAGTCTTTCCCTTATGTTCTGCTTTAAGTTGCGAAATCATGGAAATAACAGACCTGTTTGAAATCCTCTGAGGGGCCAACTCCTGCACCACTGAAGTCATGGAGCGAGCTGGCCTTACTCTGGGTTTTATATCATACTCCCTAGGTCTAATCCTCCCCACACCAGCAGCAGCAAGCGTTTTACAGCCACGTTCCTCAAAGCCAAGATGTTACCATGAGTAGAATTAATCCCGCTTTACATGTATGTAAATAATGACAAAAGGCGGCTCAAGGCTTTGACTTCCGCTGGAGCAGGGTTTGGGTCCAGATGGCTGCTGTTCTGTGTTTGTCTGATGAGGCTCTTCCCATTCTCATTTGCATGTGCTGAGAGATGTACAAAAATTTAATATCTCCTTTCTTGTTTACCGCACGTTTGGAAAACAGCAAATGTTATTTCTGATTCTAGGCCAAATCTTATAGCCTTTTTACAGTTCCCAGTCCTTAGCCAGCCAGAATCCAATTGAAATGACTGGACGATTTGCTTATGAAGTCTGTCAGATACTCATTATGGTCGTAATCTTGGGAAGCCTGATATTATAAATCACTTCTTTGAATGTTAAATTGCTTGCAACAACTGCAGACCTACTTCACATGTTACATTTTCAAGTGGGCTCTGCAAATAATTAGTATACTTCTTGCATAGCAGCTCCACACAAGGTTATTTCACGTCAGTGTATAATTCTAAGCCAAAGAGTTAAAAATCCTGTGGAAGAGGATCGGGCCTGGCATTCATTGTGTGGGTTCACTGGAATTCAGGCACTCTGCTAGATGGTCTGCCCGGGAACTGCAGATCCGGACAAACAAAATTAAGGATCTGCCATTCCTAGAGATCCAGGGTCTGGGCTTCTCACTGGAGGATCAGATACTTAGGGCCCTGTGTCCTAGCTGGGAGGCTCTGCGCTTAGGGACTGAGGCTGTTTAGGCTTCCAGCTTGCTAGCTCCGCATCACATTACCTAAAAAACCCCAAATCAGTCCTGGGAGCTGAGGCAGCATATAGAGGTTTAGGAGCTGAGGGATCTAGGCTTAGCTCCCCATCAGCCCTTCAGACTAACAGTCCTAGAGCCAGAGGCCATGGTGGCTGGAAAACAGTTTATAACAAAAATCTGCCTTGTCACGGGACTTCATTGCAACTTAATTAAAATAAAGCTGCCTTGATTTAGAGGAGCTCTACATTCCCTCTGAGGATGTCCAACAAGCCCTGTACTGCAGGGGGGCTAGTCCTAGCTTCTTATGTGCTGCTTAGTTGTTACTGATTTACTGGGATGTTGCACTCTTTGTGTTTGAGGTCAGAATTTGACCCCCGGGTTATGTTCAGTAATGGAAAGAGGGGGGCAGAGACAGATTTTTATAGAGAAATATAAATATACTTCATGGAAATATTTTGAATTTTGCTTGCATTTCTACAAAGCTGATGGTGTGCATCAAAGAGCATGAGCTGACTCTTATGTGGGGTTCTGAGAATCAGAGCTATGAAAGGACTTGAAAAGTAAGACAGATGCTTGCCGCTCCAGTCCGGACAAGCAGTATTTCATTGAACTGACCTCTTTCGAGCCATGTCTATGGCTCAAAACTATGCATTCTTTTAAGCTGTGATGTTCCACATTAACCTCTTGCAACAAGCTCTGAACAAAGGGCCTTGAGAGTTTGTAGATCATTGCAGTGACTTACTGCATCGAGGGCAAATACAAAAAAAGCCGAATAATATAACTAGGCAATTTTGCTATTGGGACTTAGTGAAGATCAGAAAAAAGGAAAATCAGATGTCAAGAAAATATGCGCTAATTTTTAACAGTCATTCCTGAGGATTCATTCAACAAAGCATGATCCGTGAAGCATCATGGGCTAAGTCAACTGTTATCCCTAACTTGCATGCCCTGTGCACACAAGAGGGCCTCTTAACTAGCAATAGTTTTAACTCAAGCTGGCTTATCTGTCAAGGGGATTAAGCAACATCTCATGTTGGTACAACTGTTAGGATGTTAACACCATGATTTTGTACAGCTCAAACACTATTTGGCAGTATAGTTCCTCTGATTTGAATTTGATAACTTGAGAGAAATTAACTTGAGGGAGATCGTTTAACTTAATTCTTCGGTGAATTCAGTGACTTCTTCGGTGAATAGAATGGCGCCATTGTCCTTCTGGCTTTCTATTGATGAAGAAAGAGAGGATTTTGCAGAGTTAGCATTCTTTACTTAGCTTTGAAGCTCTTCTTTATAACACAGAACCTTTTACTTTTTTTCTTCAGTATGACTCTTTTCTCTTGCTATTACTCATGTCTAAGTTTCCTTTTTACTATCTCATCAAACTCTGATCCATTTAACAAGTGCTTGCCTAAATCACTTTTATATTGCCTCACACAGAATATAGTGTATAAGTTTCTCCAATCTGTGTGAACGCTTGGTGCCATATAATTTCTGGTATATCAACTATTGTTGAGTGTATTTGGAATCCATGTTTCTCGCTTCTTTTTTCAGGGCACTAGCGAGTATTTTTAGAAAAATTATTCTTAGAAATGAATCTGTTGGCTGTTCACTATCCCTTATTAATTTCATGTCTTCAGCAAATTTTACTTATACTGAGGCAAATTCAGCTGCAGTGCAATGAGCCTCTGATTGAATTTGGTCTAACTTTTTTTTTTCTTCCTTTCAACATCCTTCCTTTTAGCCAGTTTTTAACCTATGTCAGTATTTTAGCAATAATACCTTTTTGTCTGTGGTAGAGCTAGTGAGTGGTTTTCAGTTGGTGTTTTTACAGACAAAGCATTAATTAATGCTAGCTAGAGGAGAGAAAGGGAACACAGTGAGCTCAGAAACAAAGTAGGAAAATAGTTTGTACATTCAGTATAGCATTTTTTTTTCATCTCAACTATTAGGTGTTTTCAGATGAGGATTTCTGTGATTTTGGACAGATTGAAAATTGAGGATGTAACCCTCCTAAAATCCCTTCAAAACTTCCCCCATTGGAACTCCTGGTTTCATACCATGCAGCACTTCCTCCAAGCTGCAGATGAAATCCCTTTGAGTAAGGATTGTAGGATTTGCCCCAAGCTCTGTAAGAATTCTCCTCTGTGGAAGTGCTTAAACACACACAATAAGAGCCTACTACCAGCTCAGTGAATTCTTATTAGGGATCAACTTCTTATAGGTTTTTTACACTGTGGGAATTCTTTCTGAAAAATACTGCAATACTGGGAGATGAAAATTTCCTATTGCCATTTACTCTGTCTGATACTTAAATTTGGAATTAGCCGCCTTTGAAATTTTTTTGATTGATTGGACTTCCTATTTCACCACCACTACCTTAAAAAAAAAATCACTAAAATTTCTCTTTCTCATTATTCTGCTGTCAGTTCATCTATTGGCATCTATGTCTATGTATTTCTGTTCTTTGCTTAGGTGACATACAGGCATATACACACACGTGCATGCACACTAATTTATGCCGAGCTGTCACATACAGATTTCTTTAGATGCTCATTATGTCTGGATATTAGAGGTTCAGAATTTGTGCAGTGTGGCTCACAGTGGTATGAATTCACAGTCCAGCTCCAGCATGGTTGGCCGTGTCTGGGAGCTCTCTAAAGTTCTCCTTCAAAATGGGCATGACTTTTATTCCTGCTTCTTCAGTGGATCCAATTGGATGTAGATAGAGCTGTTTAATGAAGATGTACTGATGGTCCCACAGTCATGTTTGTTTCCATATGACGGAACGGGGCGGTTGAAGGTAGCCTTGTGTAGGTTTGGTTCAGTTCCAGCTGGGGCTTGACCTGCCATCACGTCTCTGTTTGCATGAATATTCCTGAATTATTCCAAGGACTGAAAGAAATACCCTTCTAGCATTTACCAACAAATGCATGTACATACCATCCCTATGATAGAATGTGTGTTTATCTGTAAAAATGCTTTTGGATATGTTCTATAAAATGAGTTTTACTGTATGTTCATTTCATCAACAAAATTATAGACATTTCAGCTTCTTCAGTGTATCCTACAGATGATTGCTTTTTTTCCCCCAAGAAACCAGGGTTAAAAATCACAGTGATGTTTTTACATAAAGGAAAAAAAAGCCTTTTTTTGGAATGCTTTCATTTATAATCTTGTGCTGATCTTTTTGAAAATGTGGCTTCTGATGGTATACTATAGAAAATTTACAAGAAAGAAATAAAAGAGATTTTAGTTTCTTGAAATGCTTCAAATTTCTGGGTTTGAAGTTTAAAGTAGAAAAGATGTTAAAAGGCAATAAAATCAGAGGATTTATTTCCCCAGTGCTCTACTTTTGCTGGCAACAAAAGGCAGCATAATGTATATACTTAGGTTTATTGTCATTTTTAGTATACAGTCAAGGCACACTTTGAATTCAAAGGCTACTGTACAACTGTTTTGACAACCACCACATCAGTAGGTAATGTGCAGGACATATGAAACTGAAGCAAAAATGTTTCTTTAGGTCTATAGGGAGTGCAGTACATCAATGAATTTAGATATATTAGAGCAGCATGAATTTCTAATATGTTGCTCTTATGGAAAAGACCACTGGCATATTGAATAATGCTGCTTTCAAAGCAGAGCAGAAAATGTGATTACAGACAATTTCATTGCTGTTTTTAAAATAAATATTTTCAAAATCTTGAGGTATTTTATTTCATGTAATGCATAAAATATGTAACAGTGGACTAGAGCTAAATATCTTCTAGGACACTGAAGAGTAGATGATGTCAGCTATAATTATTCAGATGTGGAATAATAGAAGCATTTGTTTAAAATAAAATGCATGTCAAAAAATCCCATGTCCTTATATAAAAAAAGCAATAAAACCCCCATTTTTGCACACTCTGACAGAAGAATAGAGGCAATGAATAATTATTTAACATTATACCCCAATTCATCAAAGCCCGAACAATTACATTATATTTTTTTAATGAATTATATTTTTACGTATGCAGCCCAT